AAGGCTTTAATCTACAAAAACCTCGTGCTACATTATACTTCACAAAAATGGCATCTTCACAAAACAAGTCCGCTGGCATATATGTTGACGGGCACTGAACAGGTATCGGTATCCCGGATTAACAATAACAATAACAATGTAAATTACGACTACCGGTAAAGTATAAAGTTTCCAATGTTTGATTGTCACTACAACAATAAAGAGCTTCTTTAGTTGGTGATCTTTTCCTTTGTTCTCGTGACCTCAGTAGTTGATCAAGAGGTGTTATTGGGTGGTCATAAGGTTAATTCCTCTTTCAGCAAGGAAAAAACTTTGCAAACATTTAAAATGCTTGCAAAGTGTATCATTCAAATTTTCTTTTTTGGTTTTTTTTCGTTGCTCCGTGATATGCAACAACCACAATTACCAACAACCCTTTGTTGCTTCATTTTGTAGATGTGTATTGATGTAGAAAAAAGCACGATTTATGTGTTTGGTGGTCGTGTGCTCACAAGGTAAGAAAAAAGGCGAAGGAAATAGAAGAGTTCAACGGATGTACTGGAAAAAAGGCAAAATTGTCGTGTTTTATTTTCCTTTTGTACTTTTATCTGCAGAGCTAAAAGTAGTTGTTTCTTTGTTTTAGCTCAAGCGGAGATGAAAGAGCACAGGAAACTCTCTTTAGTGGACTGTACTCGTACAACTGTCAAACAAATACCTGGAATAAGCTCAAGTAAGCTGGATGTTGAAAATTTAGAGTAATCTTTAATCGAGTGTCGAACGTAATCTGGGTTGCTTTGTTATGATTTCCTTTGCTCTGTGATTGGTCCAGAAAACTCGCACAACTTTCTCAACCAATCAGATCCAAAGCTAAAACCAATCCTGATTTGGTCGCTCGCGTTTTCCCGTGCTTTCGGCAGTTTGGTCGGATTTGCTTTGATATGAGTTTTCACTGGCTCTTTAAAGTATTTTCTCTCTTATTGGCCGTTTTGTTGGATTTGGTGTAACGATTGTCAATCGAAAAGTGCTCTAAATTAATTTGATTAGACTAATAACACTGCTTATTACCCAACTGTACTAAGTAGAGTGCAAATAAAGCGCAAATCGCGTAAAAATACCCCTCGATATTGCACAATTATTAGGACAGTTGGTCACAAACCGATTCTCCATTTTCTTCGCTATTCCCGCCTTAAAAACAAATGCACATAAAATGAAGTAATTGAATGGTAATTTGCTTAGTAGACATGTTTATGTGAAGTATCATTAAATATTTTTACTTGTCGTTTGTATTTGACTCGCATAATGGGCTCGTCAAAATACGGCACAACTCTTAAAAATACCTAGCGATACCACCCACCAATATGTTTGATAAAATATGTACACTGTGACATTCTGTAACATGGGAAGTTGCCCAACAAACTTCATATGATCATATAGATACCCCATGCTGAGTTTGGCTTTACAGATATTAAACTTTAATTATGCAATTTTAATCAAGCAGATGGAATACTCTATTGATGTTCTTTTCTGTTGCGTTTTTCCAGGGACGATTGTCCTGAGCTCCGATCAAGAATAGGACACTCAATGTTATTTCATCTCGTAAGTGAAGAAGAACAATTGAACAACATTATTGTATATTGGGAGTCTAGTCGTTGCGATACAAAATAAAATAGATTCGATATATCGGCAAAGTCGACTCCATACATCTAGGGGAAAGTCAGTTCGATGCAACTCCACTCAGTGACTGAGCAGTAACGTGGTCCTCGCAGCCCACGCACTAGATTGTACTCGGTCAAATGGATATAGATGAGACTTGACCAAGCACTTTCAAACGGAAATTCGATAAAAGAAATCGAGCACGGGCATCAAACTATGTAATCTCTTCTCGCAGCAAGGTTTATCTCTGAGCACTTGAAGTTGTAACCGAATCGACTTCAGTTTACAAAGAATCGCCTAGTTCCGAAACCCCTTCAATCTAAAGGACCGACGAATTCTTTATTGCCAGATTCTTTTTTTTTTTTCCCAAAACATTTTTTTGCGCAGGAGAAAAGACTTCTATACATTTTTGCTGGACAAAGAGGAAGAGAATTTTTAAGGTACTGCAGTGTATGTGCAAAGTTGTTGCAGTGAATTCGAACTGATAATCAAATTACTCAGAGCCTGGAAATAAAACTTTGTTGGATTATTGTCATGCACAACGGTTTCATTCAGAGTAACTTTTTGGGCCTTTTTTCTATCCTACAGTGATTTTATTACATACAATGTGGACACCCATGAAATATCATTTATATATGATGGAAGCAAAAAGGAATCTGATCAAGGTAATTTACTGTAATTGTTTCATCATCTTTACTAATATTATTGTTGTCGTGATTCATTTTAATGGTTGCTGTTATGTACAAGTTGTGTTTACAAACCCTCGTATTCCTTTTTCCACAGTTCCTGCAGCAGGTTTTACACAAAGAGCAACAATTGATCCGGGTCTTAACGAAATCCATGTATTATCTGTAAGTAGATCTTTCTTGACCCTACAGTACTTTTAGGTCACCGTCCTTCATATTACTTTTAAGGTGAGAGCAGATGTATCTTATCGTATTTCCAGTCATACAGCTTTAGCGCGACTCGATCTTGTTGATGACGGTTGCGCTTACGATCGTGTCGCTTGTCTGGTGAAATCCCATTTACGACCATGACCCGGCAATGGTCCGACAATGATCGGAAGCGCGAAGCTTCCCATACCATTGTACCCGCACACGTGCATATCGTAATATAGTACCGCGCACTGTATGTTGGACTTCAGTACTGCTCACGTGCATGTCGTTTTACAGTACTGCTCACGTGTCGTACAACAGTTCTTGCTTACGTGTCGTACCACAGTACCAGTCACGTGTATGTCGTACTACAGCACTGCTCAAGTGTCGTAGTACAGTACCGCTCACCCAAGCCATTAACTTGGCAAAAAATAGTTGCATGCTTGTTAGTATTTACAACTATTCAGAAGCCTTTGAGCCCTTTTTTTTTGTGAGCACAGTAAATTGATTATGACATCAAGTTGAACAGCTCAAATTTTATGATTTGTTTTTTTCTTTAGGGTCTTAGTAAGGATAAGGAAAAACGAGAAGAAACGGTCAGGAATTCCTTTTGGGTATACGATATGGAAAGGAAATCATGGTAAGTGATGGTGTAATTGTTAAAAGATGAAATGGGCAATTAACAAAAAAAAAAATGGAAAGGAATTGGCTGAAAAAAACCCACAGAAAATTGAGTTTTGGTGCGGCAAATGAGCTTCGAGTTCGTTGGCGGAAAGATAGGCGAAAAGTCGTATCATTTTAAGTGGAACCTCTGTTGCAACGAATTCAACCTCTCTTTCCGATTCCGAACGGATACGTCCGATTCCAGGTCCCTTAATTTCGGATGGCTCCGTCTTATTTCGGGAAACGTGCCCGATTTCAGTCGTTTCCATCCACGTTGGAAAGCTTCTTTTTGGAGAATTGCGTTCGCTTTCGGATGGTTCCGTCTGATATTAAACGCTTGCGGTCGATTTCGGACGGTTGCGTCTGATTTCCGAGAGTTCCGCCCGCTTTCCGATGACTCTGGTCGATGTCGAACGATTCCTTTCGTTTTCGAAAGGTTTTGTCCGCTTGCTGACAATTTAACAATTATTTTTATCGCTTATGGATCCTATTCAGTGGATATTTTTCCTGTAGGTCTTGTGTTTACAAGAATGAGAACATGGGTCAGCAGTATTGGACTAAGATGCAGAATGTGGAGCCGTGCCCTCGCTTTGCACATCAGTTGGTGTATGACGATATTCATAAAGTACATTACCTGTTTGGAGGCAATCCTGGAAAATCCAGTTTACCTAAGATGAGACTGGATGACTTCTGGTCGCTAAAGGTAAACAGACTGATTCAAAATTTTAACTTTCCGTGTGACTTATGTGGTTATTCTTGATTTCCTCTGCAGCTGTTCTCTCGGATGATACCCAACGCCTCCTAAACTTGTGTTACATACCAGAGAACGGCTGCGAAGGGAAATAGGTTACCCTACGGCTTATGTGGTCAGATCCAGGGCGATCATAGCGAATCCGAGGTCTGTCACGCAACACCCCAGTGTCTCTAGCGTTGCGAGACATAATTTTTTACAATTTGGATGTGAACGAACCGTCAAATTTTTCTGTGGCAACTGAGGGGTGGTAAACACGCGTAAATTTTTTAAAGGCTACAAAATTCACTCACCACACGGACTCGTTAGATTCTGTTAACCTTAAAAGAATTTGTCAATACTGTCTATGGATTTTTTTTGGGCTAATTTTCAGTTGTCAAGACCTTCAAGAGAACACTTATTAAGAAGATGCCGATACTTAATACGCAAACAAAGGTACTGTCACCTCTGATGGCCTTTTTGCCTTTTTTTAACTGCCAATCTCTCTCATCAGTCCTTCATTTCCGTCTTCATTAGGCAATTTCATTACTCTATCCAAATCCTTACTAAACTTAATCTTTAGAAAAGGAAGGTCGGTTTTCCTTTCGTTTAATTATTAGCATGTATCAGTCCTGCGAGATCCACATGCGCGAATCCACGCTGAACACGCTGCGCGCTTTGTAACGAGGGATTTAAAAGTAAAAACCTCATTTATGTAATCTTCTTGTTGTCCCCCCTCAGATTTCATGAGATGGCTGCTCGTGATCCTTACGAAGCTCTTCGTTATCTGCAGGTATTAAAGATATTTTTTTTAAATCCACCTATGTTGCGTAATACCCAGGTCTCGATGGATGTCTTCTCGTGAAAAGGAACACGCGCCTTAACTGAATCAGGTCGCGCCTCGAAGGGAACAGAACGCGGTGCGTAAAAAAAGAAGACAAGTTTGGCATAAAATATTCCCCGCCTTGAGAGAAACGAGACACGTTGTTTCTCTCCGCCTTCATTGTCAACCGCTGTTCGGGAAATTAGCCCGCGCTCCTTGGAAACTGAGCCTATCCCCGCCTCACCCCTCCACTTGTGAAGAATCTCACTATCTCTCTCTCTTTCTCTCACGTGTGGCTCACACTCTACTTTCTTCTCCTTAGCACGAGCTCTCGGAGACAGTCACCCATGACGATCCGGAGGAAAGTAAAGAGGTGGTTAAAGCTATACAACATTTTACCTTACGGAGCGAAGTTACCCCTTGATGCTATTCGGTTTCAGTACACTGGTGCATTTCTCACCCTAACCCTCCCCCCCTCCCCCCCGCGTCCCTCTTTTCCCCGAAACGACCATAACATGGAGAATCTGAATGATTATGAGCGCCAAACGAATTCACGCAGCGTTAGAAGACTTGCGGACTGCAAGTTATTTGCAAGTTCCCGTTTGCTTCCCTGGACGTGTCTTAAAAATCCCCTCTTGATTAAAACTACAACAAACTTCTCGAACGTGATTGGTTATCACCAGCCCGATTAGAGCAGTAATAGGGCAGTGTTCGAGTCATGCTTATAATTAAACAGTGTAATGGGACAGCTGACACGCCATGCCTGTGTAAGTGGACAGAAAGCGTCCTGTGCGCGCGCTGTTGTCGCGCATTTCGCCGAGTTAACTGGTGCCTTTTTTTTTTTTTTTTCATGAAAACATGTTACCGATGTCCAGTTTCTCTGTCGTAATTGACGAATTGTTAATCACTCGTATGATTTCGAACCAAATTGAACTCCACTTAATCCCATTACTATTGTTAGTAGTAGAGTTACCAATCCCTAAAATATTTTATGTCGTGTTGGATGACAAGAGTTGGTAAGCATTCCTGTCTTTTGTTTTACAGTTTCGTCTTATAGCATCCAGTCTATTTTCTCAGTCAGTCTCCACACAAGATCGAATGGAAACTGGCGCAGGTGGGTTATTCTCTTAGTTATATCATAGTTATTGGTAATGTAAATTGGCCACCGTAAAGAGTTTCCAAAACTGACGTTTTGAGCGAATTGTCTGTCTGTCTGTCTGCTCTCTTCTATTTGTTCGTTTGTCAATCTTTGTGTTTATTTGTTTGTCTCTGCCCTTGCCTGATGTCCTATTTCTTCTCTTAACTCCCCAGACTCACTATCACCGCCCTTAAATGACGGTTTTGCTGGAAGAACACAGGTAGTTATTACGAACATATAGTGTACGCTTTTCACACGGGTTTTACTAATGGTCTGTGTTATTGTTTACATTTGGTGTTGTAAACTTAGTATATGGCAAGGGAGATAAAAATTGAGTCACAAATGCTTAGGGTGGAGATTTCTCAACTTAGTTTGTCTGAACAAGAAAAGTTGATGCTACTTTTAGCCAAGCATTATTTTTTATTTTGTTTCCTTGTTGCAGTTGTTTGATACATTGGTGTCTTTCTTCCCTGAACACATGACGCAACCAAAAGGAAATCTTGTGGATCTGATCACTTTCTAACATTTCGGAAGATCCAGTGAAATAAACAGCGATCAAGAACCGTGGAATTAAACGAGATCAATGAATAATTTCTATTTCCGTGAACAGGATTGTTCTGCTACACAGACTGATTTTGAAATGAGACCGGTCATTAGTTATCAAACTGGAGGCGGACGGGTGGGAGGATTTTGGTTGATTCCATAGTCCCCCCTTCCCTCTACTCCCTGTGGTCGACGATGGATCCCCTTCCGTCACCCTCAAAATCATGTGATCCCTCAAAATCCACCACACCCTCCTCCCAGAGTTAAATAGTGACTGGTCCCATAGGTTCCGGTCAACGATGCAAAGCTTGTGTTTTGTAATTAGTGTAAAGTAAAACTACAGATTTTTTCAGGAGTTTTGAATAGATGTTGAGTTTATTACTACCGGTCGTCGCTATACCGTTCTAGCGTGCAAGGGGTCGTCTTATCTCATTACCCCTTCATCAAGATCACGCCTGCTGTTCCGGAGCGAAACGGAAAATCAAGACAAACACGTTTATTCCAACACGGAGAACTGTAGACTCACTACCCTGTTCCCAGAGGCTTTGCTTACTCTTTTCTTCTCTATGTTTTTACGAGCCGCGAAGCGATGAGAAGTTACTTGACCACTTGACACAAGAAAACTATGGCTTTCAAAATATGGCAGCCGCCCTTGAATATGAAGCCGCCTTTGATCAGAAGCCGCATTATTTTCTTTTTGAAAAAATTAGAAGCCGCGGCTTCTATTCACTTGACTCTGATGATGACTTCCGCACAGGTTGTCGAAACCTCAGTCACTACCACCGAGAACAGTCCTTCTCAGGACTACACTCACCCGGACGATCACACTACACTTTCACATGTTACCCCCGGGTTCAAGCCATTTACGGTACATGTTTGCACGCATTAATAGAATTAAGAATCAAAATAAATGAACGGCAGGTATAGAGAAACATTTTATAGCAATTTAGGTTCAATCAGTAGTGGTCAGAAGAAATTTTTTAGCGAAAATGATTTTCAGAAAACTGCAAGCCTTAATATGGATCTGCCATGTTGACGTCCCTGTAAAGGACACCAACATGGCCGCTGTGGAAGTCGTTTAAGAAATAAACTACACAAGCAATCAGTGTTCCCAGTTTTGCTTCAGGATTTACTGACTGCAGCACTAGTAATGACTCTCACCGACTTAAGCAAATGTACTCCCAGATCTCAGCACGACGTTATACCGTGAACATTAGAAATTACACATAATGGTATTGTCATAATGTGGTAGACACAGTAGACAAAATTACTACCGGTTCACACATCACAACCTCGTTGACCAATCAGATCAACGATCATTAGAAATACACATAATGGTATTGTCATAATGTGGTAGACACAGTAGACAAAATTACTACCGGTTCACACGTCACAACCTCGTTGACCAATCAGATCAACGATCAGAGTATTTATACCACCTACAGACGTTGCACAAATCACTTGACTCTGGTGATGACATCGGTATCGCAGAGGTCATGCTTTCAAATCCCGTGCGGGCCTGAATTTTTTTCAAGCGTTATTTTCCTACATAAGTAGGGTTTATTACCGCTAGGATCGTTTTTCTGCGTTTCACAAGATTGAGAAATAAATGACGAACTAAGTCAACACGTAAACAAAACATTTAAAACCGCCACGATTAAAAAAGCCTTTTCCTGCATAGTATACCGCGTGGCATGACATTAGTTTTTGTCAGTTTTGCAGAAACAAATTGAAGCGAAGTTGAATTCATATTTTATTAGCGAGAGCAGTCATTTGGAGATCTCGAGCAAGTTTCTGTCTTGTATTTTCATTTTACTTCAGTACAAAGCAAGTACGTTAGAGCAGCTGGGGATGTAGTATTCTCTTGTTCATCGGCTCAACACGCAACCTTATAAAATGAGTCGATTTACTGCGGCGAATTAATAGGGCCTAATAACAAGACAAATAGGTGAACACGTGTTTATTGTCAGGTCAGCGACGTCAGTCGTTGCTACTGGTAACATTGTAACCCAGCACTACCTGCCGCCTGGACGGGTGGTCGGCGTCTAAACTGCTCCGTCCCCCCCCCTCCCCCCCCTCACCAGTGTACACTGGTGTGGTGGATGGCATGTCACCCTGCAGGACTAAAAATAAAACCTGTTAAAGGGCGGAAGAGCTCCTTACGAGCCAACGGCCAACATGCACAACTGGTATCAGCTGATAGCCAGACCAGTCATGGGCTCTTCTTTCACCATGAAATGTTGAGGTCAACCAGCTGCGATTCTACTGGTGGACAGCGCGTGCTCATGTACTGGGACCCGGTGTCTGAGCTGGTAGGATGGAGTGAACTTTGGTGGGCCTGCAAAATACACCTCTGCTAAATGATGTGCAGTTTGTTTTGCAGGAACACTATTTCTCCTAAGTCCTACGGCGACAGGGATTGGCGACGGGGGCAGGCGAAGGGTGTCGCTGGAAGCCCTCAGTCAAGTACCTGCACGTTAGGCGACCTCAGTGTGATTGCCGTTTTATTTTAGATCATGGACAACTGCAGCTTCGTGTCCTACTGTGGTGACGGCGGACCAGCCGTTTTTACGGGTAGCCTGCTACCCCTCTCCGGGGAAGGGAAAAGAAAAAGTGACTTAGAAAAGCTTGTCCTTAAAAATAGCCTGCTGGTTCGCCACGATCAGCTGGCCACCCATCTAAATGCGGTAGAAGATATAGTTCAATTAATTTTACTCTTGGTGCATGGAACGTTCGCACTCTCTTGGACAAAGGAAATAGTATTTAAAAAAGGACCGCTGTCATTGCACGTGTACTGCATGAGCATTGCATCGATGTGGCAGCTTTAAGTGAAACGCGACTTGCTAACGAATCGCAGCTTACTGAATCTGGTGCTAGTTATACCTTCTACTGGATTGGCAAATCAGACTCACAATCCCGTCAATCGGGTGTCGGCTTAGCGATCAAAACATCATTAAATAATCACCTAGTCGATCTTCCCCAAGGCATAAATGATAGGCTAATGTCTATACGCTTTCGCCTTTCGAAACATCATTACGCTACCATCATTAGTGCGTATGCTCCAACAATGACTTATCCTGACGAGATAAAGGAAGAATTCTATGAAATCCTGTCAAGGACTATAAGACCTGTTCCTCCTAAAGATAAGCTTAACCTGCTAGGTGATTTCAATGCCAGAGTTGGGCGCGATCACGACATTCGGGGAAAAGACCTTGCTCATCACTGTGTCGGAAAGACAAACTCTAATGGAATGCTTCTTCTGGGTCTCTGTGCTGCTAGCGAGCTTGTGATCACAAATACCATTTTTCGGGAGGCAAACCAAGCGATGTGAACAATTACAGACCGTTATCTCTGCTTAACATTCCTGTGAAAATTCTCGAGGCTGTGGTATGCAATTCCATAAATGATCATTTGCAGTCCCCAATTTATTAAGCGGCAACCAGTGGCCGAGGGCTTCTGAAAAATCGCTCAACTGACTGTCTCTTGCTTCATATCACAGAAACTTGGAAGTCAGCTCTGGATCAAGGTTTGGTAGTGGGTGTACTATTTTTTGACTTCCGCAAGGCTTTTGACTTAGTTAACCCCTCAATCCTGTTGGAGAAACTGATAGCCACTGGAATATCGGGGTATCTCTTTTCTTGGCTTGCCAATTATTTGTCTAACCGAAATCAGTTTGTCCGGATATCTGGAAAGAAATCTGCCCTACAACCTGTGAAGTATGGAGTGCCCCAAGGGTCCATCCTGGGGCCTAGATTATTCTCAATATATGTTAATGACTTGCCTGAATCCATATCTCATGGTGACCTCTATATGTTTGCTGATGACACCACAGTTTATACCATTGGTAGGGATACAGACATGATCATCTCTTCACTTCGATGTATTCTATCCCAGCTACAGGTATGGTGCACAA